GATAGGACAGAAAGTGACTTCTATACTTTTAAAATTTATGCAAAACTTAGGAGGTCTTTAGACCGAGCCAACTATACTTAAAAAAAAATTTTTTTATTAATTTAAATTAGTGTTACGACCTGGATTAACGCTATTATTATTGTTATTTTTAACATACAGTGAATCAAAAATTGAGAGATGAAATAAACAAATTTACGAAGAATAAATTAATTGTAATAGCTCTAGAAGGAAAACCAGCAATAAAATACTTGAAGAACTAAGTACTATGAGTGCGACTAGTACAAGTGCAAAACGGAAAGTACATAATTACACCATAACAAGAATCAAACAGACATGAAGGAAATAAGCAAGCAATCTGACAATCGATGTACCAAAGAATTGTATCAAACATGAAAGGAAATTGGAAATTCAAGGTCAAGTGGACTTGGAGCTAAAGGAAAAAAGGAAGAAAAGAAATGGAAGATGGAGAAGAAATAATTCATCGGGACGATGAATTTAAAGAAGGGGAAGATTGTGAGATTGAAACCATGGACCAACCAATTTCCCGTTAATATTGACCACCGTCAGTAATTAATTTTGTATATAATCTCTATCGTTAATTATCTTGGTGATTGATTTCATATATTATATTTATCGTTAACTATCTTGGTAATTAGTTTTGATGATGCTAAATATTGTAAGATAATTATCAAAAATTATCTTATTTCGTTAATTTTTGATTTTTTTATTGAGATAAATATCGATAAATGATGTATCTCGATATTTATTCCCTAAAAAAATTTCCTGATGTTAATTGAATGTAATATCCCCCCCCCCTTTTATCCAATTCTAGATTGTCATTAAGGATATTATGGTTATTAGATATTGTAGATACATAATTTAATGGTTTCTTTTTATGTTTTTGCTTTCTATCTATACAAGCAAAATGTTCGTTGATTAGCATTATTTCACAGTGTGGTTCCATATTTCTTCTAAAATTTCTTTTTGAAGTTCATTGACAAAATTTCTTTAGTGTGCATTCAGATAATAATTTTGGAAAGATACCTTTGATTATTCTGTTTGTTAAGCCACAGATGATCATGTTCCAATATGGAACTTGTATAATGAAAATTGACGAAAAGTCAAGTAGGTATGAATGATACTGGTGGCAAGTAATGAAGGTATACTTATTATATTGAGTCAGTTTTATAAAAATTGATCACCTAACAAACCATCTATTAAATTTCAAAGAACCATCACAATTACCGCCCAAACCATCCATCACATCAAGGATACCCACCGGCTGCAACTTTTGATGATGGTAGGTAATTGTGACAGATATTTTTACACTTCATCAATCAAATAAATGAGTTCATTTTTATACAAAAAAAGGTTTATAAAAATTTTCACAATCTTCCACATAGTTTTAATAGTTATTATTATTTCTCTTTTTATTCTCTAGGATCAACAAACGAATAACCTTTACGCGTTTTTGGTGATTTTATTTACTCTGAAAGAGTAAAAAATATTCTGATATTCATACTATCTTTCCTCGATTTTTTAAGGATCAACTAATCCGATTCCCCATCACTAAGGATAAAATGTAATGAAGGATTCACAGCGTGATTGGGAAGTTGTAAATTCAGTTAAATTGCATTCCTTCTACCCTTACTATTAAGTCATAATCTTTTTCTTTGTTAAATATTTTGAGTGGTTTAAAAATATCTTCGCATAAGGATGGTTCCATGTAAAAGTAATCTTCTAGTTATTTTTCTTTTCCGTGTTTGGTTCGAACTTGAACTTGCCCTTTTCCTTCTTTTAAATAGACATGCTCTATCGTTTTGTTGTTCTCTTTTTCAGTTACTAAACAACTTTCCTAAAAGTCCATATTCAACCTCACTTATTTTTTCCTGGTTAGTTTTTTGTTCCCTTTCTCTTTTTAGAAAGGGATTATGAAGGCTCATCTGTGATATGGATTTCACTCTTTCACCAGCTACAACTTGACGGGGTTGCAGCCATAGCTGTGATCACTCATTGTGGCAGAAGGTATTAAATTTGCGTTTTTATAATGTAGGAAAATAATGAATAGAACCTGCATAGATGCAGGAAAGATAATTTTATTAAATCTGACACCTAAAAGAATACGTGGATTTATTGGTTTTTTAAGGAACCATATAATAACTTTTTATGCATTGTCCAACTTTTGGGCATTGTGAGATTTTCTTCAAATTGGTTTCATAAATTTTCTCTATTTATTTGTAATGATAATATCAGCTGTCTTTGCTGACCCATTAAGGAGCAAATGCAAAAGGAAGGTAAAACTAAAATTATTCTGTGATTGGGACAAGTGTTTACTTATAACTGCTAAGCCATTTCTTTTTTAGCAGGCAATGGAAGAGAATATCTCCATTTGAAATTATTTTAAAAGATTGGGATTACTTTGTTATTATCCTGATTCTAAATAATTCATATATAAATACTAAATATTCTTACACTGATTCTGATGATACTAGTGAGAAGGAAAATATTTGGATGGAACATTAGTGCGAAAAAAGAAAACAAATGATGTCTACATTGTAATAGTAATAGCAAAATCAAGATCAACATGGAAGTATTAGTTTATTTATTTTATTTGCTTGTTTATTATCATCAGATTTACTCATTATTATATAATCTGTACGTTGAATACTTGGTAGAAATTCATGGATAAAAGAGAAAGATTATGGCAATATTCCTTTAACTGGAAATTAGAACAGGTACAGTATAACCCTCGTTTCAACAGAGTGGCTGGACATGTAAGAAAATTTCATTTAAACATATCCACTGATTTGCGCAACCTAATGGGGTACAAAATTTTGAAACAACAAAAATTTAGGTTTCCTGTCGATCGTCACCAAATGTAAAATTATTATTAATAATTAACGCAAAAGTTCACAGTA